AAAAAAAAAAAAAAAAAAAATTGAAGTAGAAAAAAATATAATAAACACTGACCTGTTCACTTATTTTGGTGCACCTTCTCTTATTGTGGTTGTTGAGCCCACATAGACTGCATTTCTACATAAGGCCCTTTCTACTGCTGTTTGATTCCTTAAGCCTCATGTCATTAGCGTTAGCTCTTCTTTTCTTTGTTGGCCTACCCCTTTTTTTCACAGCATCAGGTGGTTGTATTGGACCCATTCTAGACTCTTCATAGTCATTCATCCCTGGCACTGGGAAGATCATATGGGTATACATTCTGATATACATGTCCTTTTTGAAATAATCAGACACACTGAATCTATGAAAACTGATACATGCCAGTGCATAAAAACAGGGGTAGCCAACCACTTGGAACATGCCACATGTGCAGCTTCTTGCTCCCAATTGGACTATATAGCTGTTTACTCCATGAACTACCTCATATTTGTCCTCTCCAGCCCAAGTAGGGTAACAATTCCTACTTATTTCCCTTTGCTCTTCAATCTTTCTGATTGTGTTCGGACAAATGTCCTCTTTGTATTTTTCTATTCCAGCTTTCTTCACCTGGATTCTTGCCATCAATCTTCTTCTGATCCACTCAAACATGTCCACAGTAGCCATGTCCCTAGCTTCCAAAATGTAGTTGTTGAAAGATTCTGACAGATTGTTAACAATCACATCACACACTGCATTAGGAGAAAAGAGACACCTGGCCCAGTGTTCTTCAGGAACAGCCTTCAGCCATTCAAATGGAGTAACCTGAGAAGAACAGACACAATATTGTAAACCAATAGAAGAACATGCTCAATATTCACCTGACAACAATATTCAGAACAATATCAAGTGTTCGCAGCCATATTCAAAAACCATAGGCACAATATTCAGAACAGCCACAACCATAGACACAATATTAAGACTTCAAGAACAGGCACATGACAACAATATTCAAAACAATATTAAGTGTTTACAGCAATATTCAAAAACCATAGACAATATTCAGAACAGCCACAACTATAGGCACAATTTTAGAAACAATATTCAAAAATACTCAGAAACAGCCACAACCATATTCAGAAGGTTGGCACAATTTCAGAACAGCCACAACCATATTCAGAAAAAATATTCAGAATGCAACAATTCAGTGTTTGTTTATCAGAAATCACAATTTTAACAATCACAATTTTAGCAACATAAAAATCAGAACATTAGGCACAGGCACAACAAAATACTGAACAATAATCAGTGTTGATCAAAATCACAATGTCAAAATATAGAGAAGTACCTTGCCATCCCTATTAGGAAAAAGCTTTTGAATTTGACTCATGCACCTCACATGTTCCTTCACATTGTATGTGCTAGCTGCCTTCCAAAACCATTTCCTCAACTCTAGATCCCCCCACTTCTGCTTAAAGTTATTGTACATGTGCTTCAAGCAATATCTATGCTCTGCCCCCTCAATCTCACTCACTGCTTCAAGCAAACCCTTTTGTTTATCTGAGACAAAGGTCCATTTCTTCTCCTTGTAAGGGTCTACATCTCTCATTAGCTTTCCAGGAACCACCTCCAAGAATCTGTCTTCTCAACCTCCACATATGCCATTGCAATTGGTAGCATATTGTCATTTCCATCCCTACCAATTGCTGAAAGAAGTTGACCACCATGAAGAGTCTTCAAAAAGCATCCATTCAGTCCAATAATTGGCCTGCAGCCAGATAAGAATGCTTGTCTCATTGCAGCCAAGCAGACATACATCCTTATGAACTTTGGGGGTGAAAAATCTTTGTTCACTTTGAGGATAAGAGAGCTACCAGGATTGTACTTGGCTACTGTGGAGCAGTAGTCATACAGCCTTTTATACTGCTCCCCATGGCCAACCTTCAAAAGTGAAAGAGCATACACTTTGGCCATGTATGTCTTGTGCATACTAACCTCAACCCTACAATGTCTCTTAATCTTGTTTTTCAGACTTGCCAAAGTCTCACCAGGATTGTCCTTCAAAGTATCCACCATCCTTCTTCCTAGATACTTGTAGTCTGCTTGAGTGTTCTCTGTCCTATAAGCACAAGTGTGTTTGCCTTTCAATGTCTTGATCTGAAATGTTGACAAACCTCCAATAACAGAGGCCCTCAAGGACCAGTCACACCCACTTTTACATATTGCTGTGATTAGCTTTGCTTCATTCTTTAGGAACTTCAAATCATATCCCTTTCTAACTGACCAATCTCTGATCACCTCCTTGAATGTTGCTCTGCATGGAAATTTTTTACCAACCTTCAGCTCAAACCTTGACATATCAGCATCCTCTTTCCATTCATCAGGCTCTTCAAGGCAATTATCATCATCCTCAGGTGGACTGTACCAACCTGCACATAAGAAACATGAATTCAGGGTCAAAACAGATAAATATTAAGTCACGAACCAAAAAAAAAAATGCACAAAGCATAAACCAACCTTCATCTGTATGTGTTCTTAAACCTTCAGCTTCTTTTCTTGCTTTTTTTTCTGCTTTCTTCTTTGTTTCAGCCATTCTCTTGCCCTCTTGTGTACCTTCTTAGCATGATCATGTGCCCTCTCTTGGAATATATCATCATCATCAGGGCCTTAAAGATCCTCCAATTCCCACTCAGATAAATCTGAGGATTCACCACTGTCTTCTTGTGGCTCATACTCTGAATCTTCAGAATCATCCGATTCTCCAAATAGTTGTTCTGCCACTCCAGATGCAAAATTGATGTAGGGAATACGTACGAGTGGGAAGGATAAACGAGTAAACGGGATACTCTCTCGTAAAACACGTAAAACGAGATACTCTCTCGATAAAACTCACAATCAATTCATTCTTTTTTTCATAATCAACTGACTAAAACAATATATGATGAGCCCTTTAAATAAGACTCCAAAACCCTATTCTTAACTTGTCCAACAAGACAAGATCTCTAATAATACTAACTTGTCTAACAAGACAAGAATCCTAACAAAGTGATAAATAATAAGTTTCCTAACAAATCTATAATACCACTAATAATAATAAAAATAATAATAATAATAATAATATAAATAATAATAATAATAATAATAATAATAATAATTAAAGATTCTAAACATCCTTATCTCCATCAAAAATGATCATCTTCATGGCCAGCGCCAGGTGTTTGGGATTGTCCTTCATCATGTGAACAGGTGCTCCTTATACCAGCAGTAGGTATCTCTTCACCATCATGTGCATCAACCCCAGCACCAACACCATCATCTGCATCAGCCCCAGGACCATCACCATCATCTGATTCAGCCCCTAAACCATCACCATCATCTGCATTAGCCCCAGCAGTAGGTGTCTCTTCACCAGCACCAGTACCAGTACCAGCACCATCATCTGAACCAGCACCATCATCTGTTTGATCACAAGTAGCAGCCCCAGCATCATGATCTTTTTCAGCTTCTTGGTCCCAATACAGGTCTATAAGAGTGTCCTCCTCAGTGTATGGATATTCAAGAAGGGGGACCATCATCTTAATTGAATACACTCCTTAGTCAGTCGTGATATTTATAAATTAATTTTCTCGTAATTAATGGCAATTATAAATTAGAGAGAAGTGAGGCATCATTACTATACGTTATAAAGAGTACAATTATAGATATGTTAAATGAACGTTACAATGCAGGCAAAATAAAAAAAATAAAAAAATAAAAAAAAAAATTAGGCAATTCAAAGGAATTAATTAAGGAGGCCGTAGGGGTAGACGGAGGAAGTTTCTTAGGAGATAAGGTTCCTCAATGGAGGCTCATATAGTTCGTTAAGATGACATAACCATTAGACAATTATATTTATTAAACATAAATATTTTTACATACAATGATGATATACTTTAGAAAATAACGTAATCAAAAGTGACATTTAAAATTATCTGTTTTGTTATGAAGTCATCGGATGACTCGGCTTATGGAGCCATCGGATGACTCGACTTATGGAGTCATCCATAATCATCCACAAATGGTGTACTGACACGTATCTTGCAATAAATACACGATAGACACGTATCAATACATAAAGTTATGGATTGTTCCATAAGTAAACCATCTGATGGCTCTATAGCATTCTTGTTAAAATTATAACTAAGCACTTTTATTAAAAAAATATGATGAATCATCCATCTGACCATTAGGGCATCCACAATGGTGCATTAAATCAATCCATTTAAATGTACAATTAATGTTCAACCGATGGGAGTCCATTCATTTGATGGTGAAAATTAACTGGCCCACCACTACCATTCAACACATTGAACGACCATTTGCTATATTTTTATTCAATCTTTTTTGTTTTTTCTTTTTGCAAACCTTTTTTAATTCTTTTTTTCCTTTTCCTTTTTTTTTTTCTTTTTCAACGGCTATATCTAAGTTTTTTTTATTCTTTCTTTTTTTGTTTTTTCTCTTCAAATCGAGAAATTTTAAAATTATATCCGTAGAAATTCAGAATACGAGATAACACAGTTCATCATCAACTTCGTGCCGATTTAGTTGAGCATATTTGGACTCATTTTAGCCACTAAAAAAATTATATTTTGTAATTGTATTATTTTTTTCTTGTGTAATCTTAATTTAAGTTATTTTGGTATTGTAGTGTGCTTTTATTTTCATGTATTTAAAATTTATTATTATAATTTTAAAATATTAAATTTTTATTTTTATTGAGAATAGAATATTAAAATTTATATTGAATGAATGGATATAATGGGTCCCATATTTGTATTTAAATGAATGTGTATGGATGTGAGTGTGTGTTTAAATGGAGAGAGAATTAGTGGAAAGGTGATGTGGAAATGATGTGGAAAAGAGAGAGTGTACTTTTTTGATTGAATGAATGAGAAAAAAATTAACAAATGCGGATGTCCTTAGCCATCTTACATAATAATTGTGCCTAAATGTAGATTTTCCTCTTTTTTCTCCTCTTTTTCCGTTTTCGTTTTTGGTGCAGCTGGATAGAAGTAAAGCGAGCCGAACCAAGCTCGAATACCTCATACCCGAGCTCAAAGACTTACATGTTCACTAATCTAGCCCGAGATCAATTCGTTTATCAATATTAATGAATCGAGCTCAGCTAAGAGTTCAAGAAACTACATAAGAATCATATTCTCAACCTAACGAGCCTAGCTTTGTTCCACTGGTTAATTACATGAGCTCGAGCTCGAGTTCGGTGGGGTCTTTTGATAATTGAGTAGAGCCGAACGAAGCTCAGGGCAACTCATTTTGTTTAATAACGCAACATAAAAGGTAATGTAGTGGGCTAGCTAGACATGCCCACGGGCCAAAATGGCCCGTTAACCGATCCCGGCCTGGCAGTCCGAGCCGTTTCGGGCGATGGTGTTATTTTTTCTTTTTAAGGGTCGGCACTACGAACCGGCCCATAGTTTACTTCATGCCAGTCACGGGCCATGATATTGAGGCCTGCTGACCCGGTGGCCCGACCACCTCTAGGACTAGCAATCAGGGAAATAATAAAAGTTGGATCAAAATTAGTTAACAAGTAAACTCCAAAAGAAGGAAAATATGAAGTTCCCAAAAGAGAGGTTCCGCAAAGTTTACAAAAGGACTCGTGCAAACTGTCACTATTCATAATCAGACTAAATCTCAAGAGTTTGTTCTCACTAAAAATAGTGCATTTCTCAACCGTCCAAACTGCAAACCACAAAACGCAACAATCATAATCAGTTTTCCCAAGTAAGACAGAGAGAAAAACAGAGTCGTTTATCCATACAATTACAAAAATGTTAATAAATTAACAAAAAAACATAGATGAATCACGTTAAGACCTTGCATCTCACCATAATTCAACGGACAAAACCTGATTTCGTAAAGATTAAAATAAAAAAACTACAGAAACCGACCAAGAAAATCTCTGATCACTTCAATATATGGCGACCGTGTTGGGATAATATGCCCGAGGTCGTGTTCAACAACAACCGAACATCCTTTCTCAAAAAACGAAGCAAGGTGCCTACTTGCTCGACAATCTATCTGCCTGTCTCTACCATCTTTATTACCAAAAATGTGAAGGGAAGGACAGTTAATCGACCCCTCCGGGGCAAACTCTTCCATATTAACAGCAAAACCCGAGCATAAAATCACAAACCTAAAATCTACGCCTCCCTTGAGTTTCTCCTTGCATGCACTCACCAATGCAGCCATAGCAGCTCCTTGTGAGAACCCCAATATCCCGTCAAACGGCCCTTCTCGAGAAAATACTGTCTTTAAATAATCAATCGATTTATCAAACCCCGAGGTTTGCTGCTGGTACTGGAGAGAGTCGAATGGGGTTTCAGCCATTTTCCATTCGGGATTATTAGAATTGCTATCATAATCTGCAGAAACCAGCCATGCAAATTTTTTGTTGCAATGGTTATTGGGTGGGTTGTTTTGATGTTGGTAGATGAAGGGTAGTTCATGTGGGCCATCGAGAAAAACAAATTCTGCAATGTTTTTGAGTTTCTTAGCAAATGATGCTGTCCGTCCCTTGAAGCTTGATGCATTTTGTCGGAAGCCGTGCAAGCATAGGATTCGGAGTTTTCGAGTTGGCTTAGTCGTGGTTAGATGATGTTCACCTGCACAATGCAGGGTGACTAGATATAGATAACAAGCTCCTGATTAGTTAAAAAAAAGTCTTAAATCCAATTTATTTTAAGTAGTTGTCGAACTTTGGAAATTATATTTTCTTTTGTTCTTGCTTTTAAGGAAGAAGCTGGAGCACGATTCAGAGGATGCAAAAAGTTTTTAACACTCAGATTCGACAACTATAGCCATACGATTTTTCTTAACAAATTGAAGAAGGCTTAGAATATGGACCTCACCTCCAGCCCGTGTGGGTTGATCCGTGCTTATATTATGATCATGAAATTCCTCTTCTGACATATAGTCTACAACAGAAATGGGGCAAAGAGGCTTGCCATTTTTCTGGCACAACTCGCAAACATAGGAAGAACTTATTTCCTGCAAAAATTAGACACAAGAAACATTTATTGACTTCCTAATAAGAAAAAAACTTTTGAACCAAGAATCCTCTATTTTCGGAATGAAGAACGTGGTGAAGAAATTACTAATTAACTGTGCATATACGATATTCACCAAATATTTATTGAGCTGATGTAAACATAACATACCCGACAACCATCACAGATCAACACTAGCATTCTACAGTGAATACACCGGCAACGTGAAGTGTAGTCATCAAATGGGATACCACATAGGAGGCAAGACCCCAAGATCTTAGAATCTAAGCTCCCAACTGAAACCCTAGAAGAAAGGGTATATTAAGCACTTACCATAAAACAGTCCTTTTAGAGGAAATAAACACACTAAGGACATATATATATTAACATTTCTTTAAGCAAAGACAAGTTGATCAGAGCTTTGTAAAGGTTTCTGCAGGTGCTATGAGAAATACGGCTTGCAAATATAGCTTTAACATTTTAGTATTGACCCGTTTTTTTCACCACTAAACATCAATGTGAAAATCTCACTGTTCGGTAAGTAGAAGGTTTTTAACTTCTTATCAATGAAGTCACACAAGTGAAACAGAGAAAAATACATAAAACATACCGATGGTCAAAAACAAAGTTCTTCCCTTTAAAAAAGCCTCCGTCTGGAAATTGTTCCATATATCTTTGAATCCCACCATATAACTGAAAACAATCAGAATGACCAATTTCAGTATAAGTCTACATAAACGGAAAATTGAAGAGAAAAAGGGAATTGTCCTAGTACCAATAGCAGCAATAGCTCAATGCTGAGAGGAGCTCACCTGAAAAACATTTTCAAAACCAGCACCTTTAGATCTGATGTAGGCTGATGCCATTTCACATCTAATTCCTCCAGTACAGTACCTTCACATGAGAACAAACACGTGGTAAAAATACATAAACTTGTGTGCCTCATATAAATTGACAATGTGGTAGATCAGAAACAAATATGATTAGCAGCAACAATTTTCCAGTGAAGAAAATGCCTAGGAAATAAATTGGGAGAAAAGAGTAACCAAATACTCCAAAAGTTTCTAATACAGTGGATTTTTTAAAAAAAAAAATAATAAATAATAAATTAATAAATACACATTGTATGCCGAAATCACAAAATATATAGCAAAATGCCAGAATCAGTTAGAATAAAAATCAGCAAATATAATTCTGAACCAGTTCATAAACTAGAATGATCAGTAGTAATGCATGTCACTCTCCAGCAAATGAAGGAAAAAGAAGAACATTAAGAAACATTGTAAGCAAAGGGCTGTACTGCAGGTTGACTGGCTTTAAAAACCTCGTGTCAAATAAATTATATTTTAGAACTCATGAACATATGCTACTTCAACGTAACTACTCACATAAGGATATTGTTTCCTCGTAATTTCTCAGAATTGTTGTCTATCCAGGAGGGCAGGTCACTGTACTGTCTAATTTCGGGATCCAACGTTTTGACATCTGGAGTCTCAAATTTTCCAATTCTAGTCTCGTACAAGTTTCTTGCATCTAATAGTATCAACTTTTTGTCACAGCTAGAATTTTCATCTTGGCATTTCCCTGGGAAATAACCACATCTAATTTTAAAAACTTGCCAAAGACAAATTTACTGATAAAAAACAATAGGGTTAGTCAAGGCATCATCATCATTAACTAAGGCACCAGAACTAGACTCAATCAACCAGGAGACCAGAAAGAAGGAATTAAACAATACGCGACTCAAAAAGAACTTAGAAAAAGGAAGGATTAAGCAAAAGTGTAATACCAGCACTCTGAAGGATGGAATGAAACTCAGCTGCCGACAGATGCCTCCCAGCATTTGAAATTTCTGGGGACTTTAACAGGGGATGAGAACTTAAAGTCACCAATTCCTATGGACAGTATGAGATCCCGTTTCAGCCTTTGAATGTGAATGGAAAGGTTTTAACCACCATTTTCAAATAGAGTAAAACACACCACTCAAGAAGGATATATTTTAACCTATAACAAAGAAAAAGATGAAAGAATGCAATAGTTCAACTTACCACACATGCACTATACTAAGCAAAACAAACAAAACCCAGTGACTCATCCTTGAATAAATTTTCAGATACCCACAACATTCTCCCCCAAACATCCATCCTTTCATAAATTTATCACCCTATCGGCCCTCCAACCCACCCCTCCGAGCTCTTTCACACAAAAAATAGAGCAACACAAAATTCATATCAATCATGAATCCACGCTGCTGGTAAATTGATCCGGCAATTTAGAAGTAAAAAGGTTAAACGACAGAGTAAAAGGAAAAGCAATCGTCCATCAGCTCAAGAAATAATTCGTGCAGAAAAACTAAAATTCCATGAGACCTTAACTATCCGGATAGAGAGAGAAGTGAAGCCGCACTCTTTAGCCACTTGATCGTTCAACGGCTCCAAGCAAGATGCGAGTTTGAAATCCGTCCCTTCAAACAAAGCATTAGATTTCACCGCCTCAATGTGCTCTTCCAATGCCCTCAATCTCCCGCCAACCTACACAACAAAGCCAAAANAAAAAAAAAAAAAAAAAGAAAGAAACTCATGTTTCCATGAGTTGAGAATACATAAATACATGCACATGAACGAATATTCCGCGCTATCTTAGAAGGAAACTCGGATTACAGTGACATTGACGCCGTGAGAGGAGAGGCGAACACGGCCTAGGAGAGAGAGTGAGGTGCAGTTTGCACTGTAGAAATCGAAAAGGCTTTGGAGGTCAGGGATTGAAGTGTACTTGTAGTACAATAACACGCCGTAGTCTTTTTCTTTCTCATTTTCCAGTTGCAGATTGATGCCGTGCTCCGCCATTGACGAGGGAGAGTTGTCTTCGATTAGGGCGTACAAAACCCTAGAAACTGATTTGGGGATTTCAAAGGCGCATGTTAGCTATGGAAAATGTTACTAAGTACAAATGTATATAGAGGTTTTACATAATGCACAAATAGAGTGAAGTACAGTTGATTTTTTTTAATTTTAGTAGGTCTCATGTGAGTGTTATGTACACACTTATATATAATACTATGTACCTACATAATCAGTAATGTTTACCTACCCACGATGGGCACATGTCAATATGTCCACCGCTTATATGGTATGCACACATTGGTGATGCATTTTTTTGAACATATTAACATCACCAATGTGTGCATGTCACATAAGCGGTGAGCATATTAACATGTGTCCACCGTGGGTAGAGGAACATTATCTCATACATAACAATCAATAGAGTGGGTACACTTGTTTTTTTAATTTTGGTAGGTCACATTAAATGTGAGTTGCGGTGTTCTAAAAGTCGCTAGGCGCCTGCTAGACGCTCGACCAGCGCCTAAGGCGGGACCTAGAAATCAATATTTAATATCTTACTTTTTATTTATTTTAACTATCTACAAAATAAAATTATCTCAACCTATAATAAATCGACACTGTTGTAGCACAAATTGTTACTTTTACCAAATTTCGAATCGAAAGATTCGTTCCCTGGATCCATCTCACGAGGAAGGCGGTTCGAAATTTAGCTCTGATATTGATAACACATAAAAGGAAAACAAAACCTAAACATTCTAATCACGATAGGAGATATGATAACTACCAACTAAGAAATAACATAAAAATAATAATCTACCTAAAAATGCAAATGAAACAAGATGGAGAAGCTAGGGAATCGGAACAATTAATTCAAGTTCTAGCAAAACCGGGCAACAAATCGTTCAGTTCGAGATTGACACTCTAGCTTAAACAACTAGCGGTTCGCTCCCAATAACTCTTCGTAACAAGGGATTGAACATAGACGAACAAACTCGAACATACGACATAGTTCAATTATCTCAATCTCAATAACTTTTCGTAACAAAGGGCGGGTCATCGACAAGCGCGTATTTCAACCCAAAACCTATAGATTATTCAATTACAAAATCGTCCCAACGCAAGTTCGCCGCCGACCGTAGCAGCACTATCTGCTAAAATTTGTCCCCTTTTAATGTATTTATCTCGCCGAACCGCGGGTTTTTGATGCATACAACTATTTTTGTTAGAATGTTGATACATAACTAATGGAATACTTAGACTTCTAGGCCAAAATTTTCAATTTTCAGAAGATCTTCTTCACTCTTATTTAAGAGGTCAAATAATGTATAGATTTTGCTACCTCATGCGAGCCTAAGTCTATGACTTCTCCCCTTTCGGTTCTAAAAGTCTCTAATTAGACTAGAATGTGTTTAATCAACTAATCATAGAGAATAAACAAAACCAAACTCGACAACTCAATATCGAATTGTTACCAATTACAGGATCGAAGTGTCATCTTTCGATTATATAAAACTATCAAGCTCAATTTCATCAATTCCGAATTAAATCAACTCACATAAAACGAACAATTCAAGCCTGACAAAATACAATTCACACAAGAACAATCATCCATTATCCTTAGCAAATAGAATTAGGTACGAAAATCAAATTCAACACAATCAATCATCTCTTTCAATTTAACCATTATTCATGAATTAAAAATAAAGAGAAGAACTTAAAATAAATCGCAATTGCAAGAGTTGAATTTGAATTATAAGCTTAATCCTTGAAAATAATGAAAAAAAAAAGAAAAATGGAATAAAAGGGTGAAGAGAGGAAGATAAACCAAGAAGAAGAAGGAAAAAGGAATGAGAAGTAGCGTTTCGTGTTTTCTCGGGACCTAGGGTTTTCACCCGGTCGAGAGATAAATTTTATGAAGAGTCTCGATCTGTTATTTATAAGTAGCAGGTCATGACGTGGGAGAAAAGCTGGTGCGGTGCGATGGAGTAGTGCGGGCGTGACAGGAGCAGGCGCCGCGGTGCGGAGCTGTGCCGCGGCGCGGAGAGGAGCTGTTGCGCGGCGTGTCACCTTGGCGCGGCGTGAAGGTGTCATCTGCCGCGGTGCATTGCCAGGCGCGGCGCGAAGGACGGTCTCTGACGTGGCGTGTTGCCAGGCGCGGCATGAAGGGAGTGTTGGGCGACCTGTCTGTCCATGTCGTGGCATGTGCCGCGGCGCGTCGTGCGCGGGGCTCTGGGCCTGGGGTTGGTCGCTTCCGTGCATGACTTCGCGTCTCAGGCTCGTTTAGAATCGGAATTTGATTCTCCTGCTCGTTGCCAACAAAACCTTCTATATAATTACACTTGCACGATCATTTTTTGCCTGAAATCCGGTCCTCCCGAGACTTTCGACCTACATACTATAAACAAAGAAAAACCGAAAAAATACACGGAAAACCAAAATAGATCACAACGCACAATAAACTATAAAACGAATAAAAACTAACGAAAAAACCTAAAACGGGAGAAAAAAGAAAGACAAAACAATAAAGGAAAACGCAACAAAAATGGTACAAACAGACACACCTAAGTCCAAATAATACAATTAATATATTTAAAAAAAAATGAGAGCAAAATAATGTAATTAGTATTTAAAAAAAAAAACTAAAAATTTTTCGTCGAGCCCGCCTAGGCGCCGCCTAACCGCCTGGCTGCCAAGTCCGTCTAGGAGCGCCTAAGGCCGCTTAGGCCCGCCTACGCTGCATAGCCGCCTGGTCGATTTTTTCTGTCGATTTGTGTAAATCGGAGGCGTCCGTGCACCGCCTAAGCCAATTTTTAGAACAATGGTATTATGTATACCCTTATATACAATATTATATACCAATAAAAGTTGTACATAACACTCAAATATAGTGGAGTACACTTGATTTTTTATTTTTGGTAGGTCTCACTAATTGTGAGTGTTATATGAACCCTTATATACAATACAGAGAAATGTTCCCCTACCCACGGTGGGCACATTTTAATATGTCCACCGCTTATGTGGCATGCACACATTAGTGATGTATTTTTTTGAACATATTAACATAATCAATGTATGCATGCCATATAAGCGGTGGACATATTAACATGTGCCCACATGAGTAGGTGAGCATTAGCAATACAATATAATATATGTACCTCTAACATTACTCATTTTCCATCTAGAAAGGTGAAGATTGGAATCTATTACTATATAATTAGGCAACCCACTTACTAAAAATAGTAAGTCCCTCATTATATTACTATTTATGAAAAGTTAGTTACTAATTTTTTATTATTTTATTAAATGTGCTTCAACTTCCGTTATTATTTTTTTTTTCATTTTTAATAATATGTTAATTAGTAAAAGTGGACCTAAATTTGTTATTACTATTTATAGATAGACATTTTAAAATATTTTGTCTGTTTTGATTTCTCATTAATAAAAAAAAGTAAATTTCTTTTTACATATACATGATATGTTGAATCATTCTATTGATTGACAACCAGGACTTATATACCCCGTATGGGCCATAATTCACAAGAACATTCTTCAGTCTTAGTAAGAGGGAGAAGGGTTAAGGATTTACCCGGTGTAAGATATCACATTGGATACTGATGCAAGTTCTTCCCTTTTGAATCAGATAGATTCATATCTGAATGACAATAAAATCTTTCAAAATTGCTTATATTTAAAGTCTTCCTAAAAATATGAAGATACTAGATAATAATATGATACTTATTTAAATAAAAGAATGGTTCGCAAATAAAGAAATTGTAAGTATATGTGTAGAAAATAATAGTTAATAAATAAGATTACATTATAAATTATAAAACCAGACAAGTAAGAAATAATATATTCAAGTGTCAAAATACGATCTAAATTACATGATAAATTCAAACAAACTGTAATAAAATGTGTTAAGATAATAAAATAATTTGTAAATTTTCTTATACCCCAACTATATACATTTGTGCATTTAGAACATGATGTTCCAATTAAATCAATTTAGTTACTAAACTTTTCGTTTATCAATAAATTTTGGTACACATCGTTAGATTTTATAAAAAAATAAATAAATAAATAACGGTTTTAGAAAGAATTTCGTTAAATTCATGGAAAATTATATAAAAATACTAAAAAAAAAACTATATAAAAAAAATTCGTTAATACTATGTCAATTTGTTCTATTAATAAAAAAAATAAAGAATATATATATAAGAATCTACTTTTAGGCTTTTAATTATGAACTTTACATTGTTGCTTCTCGAGTTACAAATAAAAAGACACAAGATACTGATATATAATGAGACATAAAATATATAGATATAGACATTGTATATATATAGTAGTCTATTTGAATAGCATATAAAAATTATTTATTCTATTTATATTTTCTTATTTCATTTATTTTTAATAGTTCCGTGCATTTGCACGGGCCAACGTACTATTTGTTTGAAAAATAAAATAAAATTATAGTATAACTCTATTACCAATTTATTTTTCAAATAAATAAAATACAAATTTATGTGACCGACATGCCCACGACAGCGGGAAATCGCTCCTGGTCCTTGGATCCATCGAAACATATCAACGGTCCAGATCATTCCACCCTCGCCATTTCCCCCTTCTCCAAAACCTAAACTAGAATATTCCGCCCCAGAAAATAGCTAGCATCCTGCTGGGGGACATTCGAATGAAAACTTTTGCCGGGGTGGCTCATGGAGTACTTCTGTTATATATCCATATGCGCGCGAGAGCAAATCCTGCAGTTCGCAGGAACCCGCTACTGCACGCAGCATTCTATATATTATTTAGGTCATATGTTACAATCTTGAAAGAGTTATTGGGTGGCCAATAAATCAAATTAACTGATCAAAGGAGTGCTCATTGAATTTTGAATTAATTTTGAAAGAATTAATTCTGTTTCCATCTCTACACACTCCCACAGGAAAAAAAAAGAAGATAAAATAAATAAATAAATAAATAAAAAGAAGGTAACCAGCCAAGTCCGAAGGAATGTCTCGTTGGACTCCAGCGACGATTTCCCAGTGGATCGACGTCGGATTATCCCTGCCTACATCGTTTTTCCGATGGCCGAGGCTTTTCGCCTCCTACCTGACGCCGTCAGCCTGGGGCGACGGTCTCCTCGGCGTCCCTCTCAGTACAATTGAGCCCGGTCGGTGGGCCCCACGCCTCCATTTGCCAGACGTCGACGACGTCGTGTGGTCGGTCGTCTCCGCCGTGGAGTCCGTCGTGCTCGTCTCCTTCCTCTGCTTCTTCTTCGTCTTATGCGGCTGTACCCTGTGAAAGTTGATGAGTGTTTTTGTTCGTGTGTGCGCAGACGACTGTGTGTCTGTGTGGAGGAATATCAAAGGATGTGCGTATCGCTGCTATAGCTTTTTTTTCGTTTTCCTGTGGCCGTAAAACTAGGAATCCTGCGGACCAAGCGGCGACGCGTGCGGAAAGCGCGTGGCGTCTGATCGGGTTCTCTGTAATTTGGCGAGTTGGGGCTAATGATGGCCTGGATAACATGTTTTCTATGCGCCCACGTGAGGGTAGTTCTGTCAATTAATCAACAATATTATATTTTTATATCTTTGACTGGATTTGTTCTTTGTTTTTTGTATGTTTATTTTTCCATAAATCTGGATGATTTTGTTATTGTCCATGTCATTATCGCGTTCATCAACTATAATAAAATTTGAATTTAAAGACTTCATATGAGGATTTCTAATTTACCAAAAGTTTGTCAAAGAATAGAACAATATATAATTAGATTTAAACCTGCCCCAAACTCAAAGTTATTTTGAGATGATTTGTATTTATTTTGAGGAATAGTATAAATTGATGTGTATTTGCCATGCACAAGTTGTAGTAATGCACGAATTGTATTTATTTTGAGATGCACAGGCCGTAGTCTTCACATGCTTTGGTGATATTCAATCTTGCACAGCTGACCCGTTCTTAATTTTGTTTTCTCAACTTCTCGATATTGCCAATTGCTCTATATTTTTTTGTAGAAGGGGCAACCAACACGTTCGTCTTTGAATAAAACGCCATAGATCGATAGATAAATAATTATCAAAATTGATTCAAGTAACAAACGATCACGATCAAAGGTTTATTATTAAGAATTATCATATGAAGACAAGGTACCTAGTTAAATCGATGTGTCCTCGATACTCGGATGCAAACCAGCCCAAGCCAAATTCTCATTCTTAGGTAGGGATAGACAACTTCTTTCCGGTATCGTCAACCTTAGAATGATTTCTATCTTCCTTTTAAATCTCAGGCCCTAACACTCGCGCGAGCTTCTCCGCTGCACTAAAAAAGACAAGAAAATCATCAAAATTAGATTACTCAAAAATTACACATGTGGATAAAATATGATGCATTCTTTCCACAATAGCAGTTGACATGTATAGCGAACAAGCAGATGATCGGTGAGTCTTCCATTATCCGGACACCCAGAACTATTCCTGCTTCTATTTATGTTGGGATTTGGGAATCTCCTTCACTAAGTTGGCATACTTTTTGTCTCGCGGTGCCAAAAGGAGGTATCCGGATCCCCTTTTTGACGACTTCCACATTACTATGAACCCAACTCTTTCATAGATGGCGCCGACCAACCTGTTTGTTTAAATAGGATGGTCAAGAACACAAATGGTACCAAGTGTTCGGGTGGACTTGACTTACCCTGATCCCCCATTCTAGCAAATATTCTAAAAACACTTGGGGTAGAAGGAACCTCAAACCTTAAACCATCGACTCTCTATGAACAGTAATACACCCGGCGGCGAACTATAGATCCTCTCATTTTATATACACAAACATCTTGGAATATGTAAGGAGTTCATACTTTTCTAACATCTTCACTATGTCGACATCTTTTGATGTGTTGGCATGCTGATAGATTTATATTTCTCTAAGCTCTTTAGCTTCTCCCGTCGTCGTCTCCAATACCCATATGGAGTTAGATTTGATGTCTTTTCTTCAATCCATGCTTGCATTTCTCTAACATCACTCATTGTGGCGATCGACTCCTTTATTGGATAAACCTGATCGCCTTCCGTCACCGTAGTCAACAAATCCATCTCGTAATCACTACTCTCTTATATACTGTTTAAAGATTGAGGAGAAAAAAAAACTAAAAGTAATTGTTCGATAAATTTATGAATAGGACGTTTCGCCAAAACGACGAACTTCAACTTCGTTGGATAAAATTCAATGTTGAAGGAAATTTGAATTCAAAAGAATGATTTCAAATCCCTATGAACCTTATATATGAGGGTGATCTCAGCTTTTCAATTATTGCAACTAGTATCAAGTTAAAAACATGAAGCCCATCGGTCAAGTCGGTCACATCGATTCATGTCAGAAGCCATCGATCGACGCCTTCTTACACTGGGGCATGTCCTTTGAGTCTTTAAAAGATGCACATGTCTCACAAAAATGTGCCATCTTATCACATCATTAAATATCCTAGCCAAAAAGTCACTTTATCATGTCCTATCCTCTGCCAAAAGGCATAACCAACACTCTTCACTTTTCAGATGATTTGAAGATCTTTGTGGATGATCTCACACGTAAGAAACCACAAAAAATTCGACAAATTGGCAGACAACTTTCTGGGCGCATTTCAATCTGCCAAGCATACACCTGAAACCTTAGGGTTCCCTTATTGTGCATAAATTATTACACATTCTATGAGTCAGCCCATTAAACATCACATTATTTCTAAAGAAAATTGGGAGCATGTCTTCTTAGCCCAAATAATGAAAAAAAAAAAGCCCAAAGACCCACATAACCTGTCCCGCCCTGATATTTCATTCTAAGCATGAGTGCTGATCCACCAGATAACACATTTTCCTGACTTTTGTCAATCACTCTCTGCAGTATGAAATAAGAACCAATAAAACAAACTGATAAAGCGATCGCCTAACCAGTCTCATCATCAAAGTCAAGTTTTTGCATGAGGACGCATGTCACTCTCTCCCACAACCTTAGTTGGTGCATGGCCATCATTACATTTCTACTATTTTTATTTATAAATTTAGTCCTTCAGGCTATAGAATGGACATCGCCAATTCGTTAAGTAAACACTATTGCATATTTCATTCACAAGTTTCTTGCAATTATTTTTATGTAGTTATCGTTGTTATAATCAGCGATCTCTCATTCTTGGCATCTCTCCAATTTGTTATGCTTGAGTGTTATTTGTGATCAAAATAACAGTTCAACTTTTCCATAAATGGTTGTACCGTCACCCTTAATCCTTGTAAAGCTATAAATCCACCCCCTTAATTGTAGTTGATGTCTAACATAAAAAAAAATAAAAAATTGATGACATCACAGTTCTTCACCTCTAACTACAATAATTTCGTCTTATCACAATAAGTAATTGATTGGATTATTGATGGGTCTCTTCCTAGATCTGGAGCGAACCGGTGGAAACGGGCCCGGATCTAGGACGAATCGATGAGAATGAGCTTGGATCTGTCGTTGTCACCTTCAAACCGCTACTGGTCCACCAGAAAACCTGCAAAAACTCAACTCCGAAGGGGTTTCCGGCGTAGAGCCTCCGACGCTCAAGTCAGTATGTAAGAGAGAGGCGAAGAGAGCTGCTCTCAGAGAGCAGTCGCAGTAATGGAGGAGAGTATTTAATGAATGAGAGTTAGGGTTTTGAGGTTACCTTAGCTCCTTTATATAGTAGTACAACATTTACCTGAAGTCCCCAAAATGCCCTGGCCGAATTACTGGAAATGTCCAGAATACCCTGGTCGGTTCGCATTCCATCCATCTCCTAGTCAGCATTTAGGTTCCTTCTTATCCTTAGTAGCTTCCTTCTTATCCTTGACAACTTTCATATGATATGTTGAAGTGTACTGGAGTCGCCGAGATCTACGAGCCTCGAGACTTCCTCAGTCGACTGGGGATATCAACTCGAGTCGACTGGGTCATCTTCAATTGTCAGTAGACCCTGACGCGCTTGACCGTCTCTCCGGATGGGATTGACTTTTGCTAGTCGACATGTGGAAGTCGACTGAGAGAAATGTCTGGACCCTCGACCGGAGATACCATAAAGGGTCCGCGGACAGAGTCGACTTTGCGTAAGTCGATTCGTAATCCCTGAACCGCGATGGTATTGGACCGTTATACGACAGTGTGGCTATATCATCTAGTCCCCCCCAAAAATTACTCGAAGCGATTCCGAGCTTAAGAGTAAGTTTTTTCGACTGAATGTCTTGCTCGGATCTTGTTATCTCGACTCGTAAGTGACTTGTTTACCCAACAAATTTCGAATTGATTGGATAAGTCTAAATCTTTTTCAAATTTCAAAATTTCGAAAAAAAGGGCTTGAAGGCTGATAAGATGTTTTCTCTCTCCACCGCTTCGTATTCCGTGCGCCATCTTGGCCGTTGGTTCTGCCTTTAATCTAAAGGCTGGGGTTTCTCTGCTCCTTTATAAATATCCTTCTCCTTCCATTGTCTGCACTTTTTGCACTCAGAGCTCTCGAATTTTCTGCTTTTCCAGCAAATAAAGCTTTACAAGTTTTCCGGCGTTCGTTTCATCCTCCGGCGTTCTTCTCAAGTTTTCCAGGACCTTTCCGACAATCACCATGTGTAAGTTCTCTCTTGCTTTTTGATTTCTTGCTATGTGTGATTATCTTTTCTCCCTTTTTTCTTCTCCTTTTTTTTTTTTTTT